ACCTCAAAAGTTTATATGACTATCAAGTGCCAACTTGATTCGACAAAATGCAATATAAATGCCACACTTCACCGATAGAGATTTACAACACCTAACACCACTAATTTTTATTCACAATATGGACAAGTTCATGCCACTCTCTTTCCGACCAAACTCAAAATTAATCCAACACCAAGTTACTTAAGAAGCAATAACAAGGTTCCCCAGAAAAGAATTGAGCATTGTAACCTATGTCTTCTAATAACGAGCCTAGACAAAATGGTTTAGCATTTCACCGCTATCCATCCCACAACTCACCATTTGTAAGACCATCATTTCCAATATGCACCAAGGTAGGGACTCTTGATTGCAGAATGCGAACATGAGCAATGAGTGAACACCTCATTACAAATCATTTCTTCAAAAAGAGAAAATGATTTATGTATTTGATCCTTCGTCCCTGATAACTTTTTTTTTGGTCCTAACTTTGACTTAACCTCAAGCTTACGTTTGCACTGCCTTCAGTCCAATCCAAGAAAAGTTTATAAGAGAGCACGGCAATGATTACTTAAATCAATAGACTAATCCCTATAGTCTTGATTGATCCACTCATAATCATGCCTAGAAAGGATCCACTAGTGCCATGCTAGACAGCTACGGACCAGCCTATTTGCCACTCATAGCAAACCTAGGGAAGGTTTACTTTCACCCATAGTATAAGGAACAACTCATAGAACCACTGATAGGCTAACATTAATCCTGCCAACTCAAAGTGTAACCTTGAGTTGCTAATGTGCCTCACTCATGAGCCCAAGCGCAAACTTGTGTTAATGGAACATCTCACATCCATCTTATGAGCTCAAGAGCAAGCTCATATAATACAATACAAAAAGGTAACCAAATCCAACCAATGCGAAGTTTTTATACCTAAACATATACCCACTCGAATCATCGTTTTCATCTCTGCGTATCATGGCTAGGGTGTCCAGCTGGAAATAAGGCCCCAAATCGCAGAGGTTCTTACGAGTAGCAGCTATAGCATGCCTGAGAGCACCGTGATGCAACGAGATTAGTTGCCCAATTTCACTAGATAGTACTCGCTAAGACTCATTCTCTGATACCAAATGTCGTGTATGTGGTTTTGACCCTTTATCCTATGGTGATTTACCATAGGATAACATCACGAAGTGGAACCTAAACCCTCTTTGTGCCACATGACAGATGCCACATGTCATATGCCACGTGTCCAAAGGATAATGGTGTGAAACCTGAGTTTCAGAGCCTTGGGCCACTGAACAAAGGAACAGTGCCAAACTCCCAAGCATGGAGCCAAAGAGCAATGGAACTAGAACACGGAATGACTTCTGAGCATATAATGCTTTATTTCGTTAAAGTGGGACTTTTCATTATCCCACTTATGGTGTGTGGCCACATGCCATTTTTATAACAACAATAAAAAATTGAAGTTTTAACTTTATAATTTATAAATTAAAAACTTTTCATATGATTTTGTGTTATAATATTGTGAAATATAAAAAAATAAATTAAAAAACTGATAGAAATATTAATAAATATTAATTAAGTACTAGGAAATGGCATGTGGACACATGCTAATTAATGTCCCACTTTACTGAATAAGTCCCACTTTAACGAAATAAAACATTATAGCCCAAGGAGCGAAGGAATAGGAGCTCGGAGTGACTTGGAATAGTCCTAGAGCAACCAATATCTTAATGCCAAGACCAACATGCAAAACGGAGCCAAATAGAGTCTAGCGCTATTTTAGCATACTGGTGGCCTAACGCAAGGACATAGGTATTCCACCAGCTAGCATGGTGTTGAACTTAGGCTTAGACCCAAGCCGGACGCAAAACAAAGATAGACACGCAAGCGGGAGCTAAATTATGCCTTAGGTTGGTCAGCCATGCCTGACCTACCCACTATCCTTACGATACATTTGAAACCCCCTATATCCCCCCTCCCCCCCTTGAGGAACACACGCTTTGGGCTTTCACCCCAAGCCTCCTTTAGTATCAAGAGTTAGTCTCTTCGAAACTTACTAAATATGGAATGTCCTTAATTGTGTTCAAGCTAATCTTTACATTCCGTAAATATGCCAGATGAGCAAATGTAAATATTTTCCATAAATAGCATTTAGGACCGGAATGAGATTAACATAAAGAGCATGATAGCAAAGGTGTTTGGTAAACACGGTAAACTATCATCCAGCGAGATTGAGGAACTAGTTTCAATACGCAAGGGTTCTTGTCAAGTTAGTGCAAGACAGAGCAAAAAAAAATTAAAAAGCCAAGCCAAATATGCTTGGCTAAATAAACACTTAGGAATTCTGTCCTTATGCTTATCCGGCCAAGTATGGATGCAAAGTCTAGTTTACTAACACTTGAACAGAGGGACTAATAAAGGGTCTAACAATACTGATCTCCTACCATCATGATAGTAAGGAAAGAGTGTCCATAAAGACTAGCTGACAGGTAACTTTTGATACCCAAAGTCACATTCGCGACAATATTGTCTTCCAATCTTTACACTGGTGTAAACTATAAATTTTTCCTTTCTAATTTACTAGTTTATCTCATTTATCCAACCATCATAGCCTTGGCCTTAGTTAAATTCCCTTGCTAAAATTCCTATCTATTGTACCAGCTCCTACTTAGTTCTACTTAACTTCAACAACTCATTCCACAAGCAATAAAATATTAACTATCTATCCATGGGCCATACCCATACTGAGCTATTAAGCCATGGTGTTTCCCTATGGTGTCCTGAAGCAAGTGTTACACTCAAGGCTTGAGATTTAAAATATCCCATGATTAAGTCTTATTATACCAAGGGAGGGGGGAGGGGGGGGGGGGGGGGAGGGAATTGGGAAAGAATTTGGGAATTCATGGATGGATGGCTAATACTTTATTGCTCGTGTAGTGAGTTAATAAAATCAAGTATGACCAAGTAGGAGTTAGTATAATAAGCAGGAACTTTGGCAAAAGAACTTAATTAAGGCCAAGGCCGTGATGGTCAGATAGACGAGGTAAGCTAATGGCTTACAACTGGATTCAAAAACATGTTTAAACTTATCATGTAAAGTATTTTGAGTTAAAATGCAAAGAAATGTCACCTCAAACATGTGCCATTACTAATATACCATTATATGAAAAGTAATAGTGATTTAATCCTAGGATCTATCATTGATTAATGCTGTATAAATAAGGTTTATATGAAGTGCAGAGGACTATGTTGTACAATATTAACAAGTGCTGTATCACATCGAATTCAAAAACATGGTCAAAGTTATTATATAAACTACCTTTCGGTAGAATGGAAAGAAATATCACCTCAAGCATGCTCCATAATGTGAAAGATAGGAACAATTTTATTCTAGGATCTACCATTGATCAACTATTGCCAAACTAATTAAATATTGTACATATTTTCAGTGCTTTATTAAAGTTAGAAATCATTATATTCTTTTAAACTCATTTCAATATATTCCATCTGTATACTACTATCTATCATCTATAGTAAATTATTTGTCACATTGCTTTGGAAATAACACCTTCATAAAACAAGAATAATATGAATATATAAATTTTTGTATCTTTTGCTCTTTGTGTTAACTAAATGAAAATTTAACAAATAAATGACATGTAAAGCACTTGTAGCTCAGTGGATAAAGCATCTGTTTCTGGAGTAGAAAGTCACAGGTTCGAACCCTGTCCAGCGCGCTCATTACTTTGCATGGTGCTAATAATGCCAAGGTAATCTAAATCTGATTCCATTCCATCATTGCTGGTTAGAGCATGGTGCTAATAACGCCAAGGTCGCAGGTTCGAAACCTGCATGGGCCAATTCGCAATTTAACGTTAACTATTGTTTAGTAACCTTTTCAAAAAAAGGGAAAGAAAAAGTTATTAATTTATAAATAATTAACAAGAAAAACAAATGTTATTTACTAACATTTACCTCCCCCAAATTGAGCTAACAAAATTCAGGATAAATAAAAGCTGAAACCTGCATGGGCAAAATATTTTTCTCGTAATTTAAAATTAACTGTTGTTTGTAAACATTGGTAATTAACTAGCCTTTTCAAGAAAAAGGGAGAAATAGCTTAATGTATCACACTTCAATCTCACTATATTTCACAATTTCACAATCGCTAGTCGACTTAGCAGACCTTTCTGCGTGGAACCACTGGATCTTCCGCCCCTCGAGTTGGCGCCCTCTCCTGGCAAGCCCGTCCGCTACATTATTCTCATATACCTTGTCGTGCGCCTTGACTTTGCACAGCCGGATCTCCATCCCGCTCTTTGCTGCCGCACCAACGATGCACTGCAGGAGCGGCTTGAGCTGGATGCAGTCGGGGTGCTCAGGCCGGCACTGCGCAAACTGTAACAGCTTCAGCGATTGCAAACTGTCCGTGTAGATATTCAGCTTGTTGGACTGCCAGTAACCTCGAGCCCTGTACAGCTGCACTGCCGCGATGGAGTCGTGTATCGCAAGAAGCTCCATGTTGAGTGAAGACACGATGAGGCTGTCGACGATAGGGTTCCCGTTTTTGCACCAGCCGTTCTCCTGCGGGACTTGCACCGCCATGCCCGTCCCTTTGTGGGACTCCTCTGCCGACGGGAAGTAGACGCCGTACCCTGCCGAGAGCGACTCTTTATCGAAGGAACCATCAGTGAATACATTCCAAGGAGAAGATGCTTTTATTTCATCAAGTCCTCGCTCACGAGTACAAATGGTAATGGCCCATTTCTGCCATGGCTTTCCTAATCTGACTCCTACACCACCACACACCTTCTTGTTCGCGACGCACGCTTCATCCTCGCCAGCTTTGCGCTTGAGAGCCATCATCTTGTGCGTCTCGGAAGATTACCCTAAGTTTTGGGGCCCCAATTTCCACATGTATAGGTGGCTTTGGTCGTACGAAAACATTTTCTTACAAAGTAGATGCGAACTCGCCACCCTGGAGAATCAGATGAAGAAAAGCAAAAAACATCCTGCACTTGTCCAGCCAAAGATGGATTGATCGATTAGCAAACTATGACAGCAACAACAATGAAAAAGTGAAAAGAGGCATTTTCTTCACTGGATGAAAGCCTTCCACTGTAGTGTCCCTTTTCGCAGCCTCTCGGGAACAGCCTGAGACCACTGTGTGAGATTGGGGAGGGGACCCGTGAAAGCCATCTTGTTATTCACTTGATCAAGCTTCCGCCAGTTCACCTGCTGTTCCTTCAACTCGTAAGCGCTTTAAGTATTAGGAAATGGAGAAAGAAAAAGTCTTACCTCGCCTGGAAATGCCTTTGACATCGCATAAAGAACATGGTTCTCGCCCGTAATTGTGGACTGTAGAGTTTCATCATCGTCATGTCCACGTCTTTGCTCTTCCACGCAGTTGATCATGATCCGGCCCCCGGGTCTCAGTCTTTTCCTGAGCTTAAACCATGTCTCTGCCTGGAAGGAAGAATCAGGAAAAGATATCAGTGATCTGATGCTCCGCAGAGACTAAAACTCGTTTCTCACCTCCTTGAGAACTGGCAGAACATCGCCATTTGAGAACAAATCCACGACAATGCCTGTAGAAAAGTGAGGTCGAAAGATTAACAAAAAAAAGAGAGGTTGCACCGAGCTACCTGCGAATCCACCCTTGGGATCATTTGCATCCGAGAGAGCATCGTCGATGTGAATTGTAAGCCCTCCACCGTGTTTGTTTTTGCCTTCTAACTCCGACAAGCCGAGAAAATCCCTTGCCTTGTCAATTAGCTGCAAGCTTCAACGACGTAAGAGTTTGCATTGACGGTGTCAAAGAGTTACTCACGATCTCATCAATTTCCCAGCCTATCAATTCTCGCTTCGGCCACAAGTGGAGCAGCAATCGTGCAGCAGTACCACCGCCCTGATGATCAAACACAGAAAAACCAGGAAAGCTAGGAAGAAATCGAAAAGCTCTTACCAGTCCTAGAATTGCAATGGGACCTCTGGGAATGATCGGTGGAAGCGAGGAGAACTCGTCCTTCAATCACACAAAGTAGTCATAACTCCTTCCTCAAGAACGGAAGTTGTTTATCCAGTATGACCCGACCCACACAGAATCCTCCTTGTAAATACTATGAACATTTCCTACATTGGGACGTAAAGCTCTCTCAATCACCACAAAAAGAACCAAATGATCTATAGATGAGAGAGATTGCTCACCTGTTTGATCCAGCAGCAGCAATCTAGCTCCCGCGAATTCACTGGGCGAATCCCTGGGCACCTCGAGAATCGCAATGGCGTTGTCATCATCATCATCATCATCATCATCATCATCATCATCATCATCATCATCATCGAGGTCACGACGGTGGGAGCGGCCGCGGTGGCCTCCAAATCCTCCTCCGTCCATTGCTCCACCGAGAAATCTCTCTTCCTCTTGGACGAGGACGTGGCAGTATCATCCTCCCAAACTGAACACCTTAAATAGACAGGAAAATATATAGCCTATGAATGTTTCGAACCTGAGACCTTGGCATTATTAACAACATGCTCTGACCAACTGAGCTAATAGGCCTTAAACATTAAGTGATTTATCTATATACTTGTTCATCCTTTTATCCTTTTATTAGACAAATGCGTCTGCCGGATCTTGGTGTGGCTCCAAGTGCTGGAAGTCACTCATTGAGGATGCCACTCACTGGAGAAGCTTGCCGCAGTTGCATGAGTCGTGGTCTGTAGACAATAGTGAGCTGACAAAACAGGAAGCCCTAATGTCTATGTGGTGACCCCAAACTGAAGCCACTCACCAAACCAAATTTATCGCATAGGAGCTGAAACTGGTGTGACCCCAACAGCTTGGTGAGAAGGTTGGCAGGCATGTCCTCTGTCCCGAGATGTATCTCACGGAGCTTGGATCGTCAACGTGAGCTCCGGAATGTAAGCCACCTTAAGATCTTACAAAATTTTGCTCCAGGCTGGTGGACTTTTATGGGAGATTGGAGGATTCGGTGCAAAGTCCTTGCACCATAGTAGGATGGCTATCATGCACAGAATGGAGACGAAGAATCGGCTCCATCAATTGACGAAGCTGGCGAACCGAGCGCAGCGACTTTGGTTGTTGTTATTGAGTCTCCAAAGGTAAGTTTGAGAAGTGATCGGAACTAATGGTGCTGGGATATACTGAAAGTGGTGAAACCGAGAATGGTCATCAACCATACGCAAAAGTGTCCACTCTCCCCTACATTGTTTGCAAAGGCACTCGAGCTTTATTCGCAAATGATCCAAGGCTGAGGCTCTTCGCCGGTCACGTCATTCTCCTCGCAGCAAAACCTTGCCGAGAAGGAGCAACTGAAGCCGCTTGAGGATTCGCACAGCTTACACGACCAGTGAGGTTTTTCGACTTGGAACTTGACACCATGCTGGCAATTAAGCTGCTGGATTCTTACGAAGGTCGTTGATGTCTCGTACGTCTGTAAAGAAGATTGGAGACAAAGTGATTGTATTAGAGGCCCGATGAGACGGTGGATCCGCCTGCCATCACATTTCTTTATTGATGGCTGAAGCCTTACATCATGGATAATGCGATTCCGAAACTCATGTTTCTATGGTTTTATGTTTCTATGAGGCCGATAAAAAAGTATAGGCTTTGAAAATAAATCTGGTGTGAGCGTGAAGGCCGTCTTATAGTTATACTTGCTGCAGATACTCCATGAATTATTCTTGAAGAAGAAGGCCATCGGTGGAGAGACTGATAACATACTTGGTCGCACAACAACGGAATGCTTGATAACAAAATACTCAAACTCAAGACAGCCATTCTTCACCAAGTCACCCATGTAAACCTCACTCAAAAGTTTCCAATCTGTTGTCTCCATATTGAGTTCCCATGCAGCAGCAGACACCTTATAACCACCACTTATAGTTGACGAAACAAGAATCCACCTCCCATTGTAATCTACAATACAAGGCAGCCCACAACAGAAAAGATTGCTTGGAAACTTCACCTTGACCCTGTCATAGCAACCTGAAACCTGATCAAACACAGCCACGTAAAGAAGATCAACCCGACCACCGGTGATCTTTAGCGACTGCCTGTTAGGTGATGCAAACATACTGGATCCGAGCCATGGTCCCTTGTCATCCGCAGCGAGATCATCAATGCTCTTCTTGCTTGTAAACTGGCAGCGCCGCCACTGCCTACTGAGCGAATTGAATAGCCAGTAGTGATCAAAATCTGCAAGGAGAAACACCAGGACCTTGAAGTACCCTGTGCATGAATCCACAAGCAGTTTCCCCTCTTTCCTCGAGACCTCGTTCACCGGGAGCTTGGGGAGGCGACACCACTTCCCGGTGATCGGATTCCCAACCATGTAATAGGGAAGGTGGTGTCTCTGGAGATTCACAAAATAGCCACACACCAGGCCGCAGGACGAGTCGGCAAATATCCTAAACCTGCAGCGTCCTTCACCCCAAGGACCTCTATTCTTCAAGCGCAAGGGCAAATTAAGATGGCGAGCCCTGTGGGGAGAATTACTAGTTGCCAAGATACGACAGAGAACGGAACTGTTGTCTACAAACCACGACTCATGCAACCGCGGCAAGCTTCTCCAGCGAGTGGCATCCTCAATGAGTGACTTCCAGCGCTTGCATACAAGCTTGCAGCGGACAAGGTCTGGAATGGGGAGCCATGCCAAGATCCGGCAGACGCACTCGTCAGGTAGCTCCTCACACTCGAAACTCTCAGGAAACAAAAAGGCGAGGCAAACGCGCAGCCCGGCCAACATCTCGAAGCAAAACAAGGCCTTTTCCCTTTCCTCGTTAAATAGAGACGAAGATATGGCCTATGCAGGTTTCGAACCTGCGACCTTGGCGTTATTAGCACCACGCTCTGACCAACTGAGCTAATAGGCCTTATACATTAAGCGATTAATGTAATGCTTATCTATTGGTTGGAATTATGTAGTAGCATATGGCCGAGCTTCACTTGCCCGTGCTCGATCTTCTTCTCGTTAGGTCTAATCCACTTGTATTGCGATGCTCGCCGGCGATTCCAGTCGCAGCGCCCAGATGCCGCATTGCCCGTCTTGCCGCCAATGCCACGTCCTCGTCCAAGAGGAAGAGAGATTTCTCGGTGGAGCAATGGACGGAGGAGGATTTGGAGGCCACCGCGGCCGCTCCCACCGTCGTGACCTCGATGATGAGCTTCTACAACGCCATTGCGATTCTCGAGGTGCCCAGGGATTCGCCCAGTGAATTCGCGGGAGCTAGATTGCTGCTGCTGGATCAAACAGGTGAGCAATCTCTCTCATCTATAGATCATTTGGTTCTTTTTGTGGTGATTGAGAGTGCCAATGTAGGAAATGTTCATAGTATTTACAAGGAGGATTCTGTGTGGGTCGGGTCATACTGGGTAAACAACTTCCGTTCTTGAGGAGTGAAAAGAGCTATGACTTCTTTGTGTGATTGAAGGACGAGTTCTCCTCGCTTCCACCGATCATTCCCAGAGGTCCCATTGCAATTCTAGGACTGGTAAGAGCTTTACGATTTCTTCCTAGCTTTCTCTGTGTTTGATCATCAGGGCGGTGGTACTGCTGCACGATTGCTGCTCCACTTGTGGCCGGAGCGAGAATTGATAGGCTGGGAAATTGATGAGATCGTGAGTAACTCTTTGACACCGTCAATGCAAACTCTTACGTCGTTGAAGCTTGCAGCTAATTGACAAGGCAAGGGATTATCTCGGCTTGTCGGAGTTAGAAGGCAAAAACAAACACGGTGGAGGGCTTACAATTCACATCGACGATGCTCTCTCGGATGCAAATGATCCCAAGGGTGGATTCGCAGGTAGCTCGGTGCAACCTCTCTTTTTTCTGTTAATCTTTCGACCTCAGGCATTGTCGTGGATTTGTTCTCAAATGGCGATGTTCTGCCAGTTCTCAAGGAGGTGAGAAACGAGTTTTAGTCTCTGCGGAGCATCAGATCACTGATATCTTTTCCTGATTCTTCCTTCCAGGCAGAGACATGGTTTAAGCTCAGGAAAAGACTGAGACCCGGGGGCCGGATCATGATCAACTGCGTGGAAGAGCAAAGACGTGGACATGACGATGATGAAACTCTACAGTCCACAATTACGGGCGAGAACCATGTTCTTTATGCGATGTCAAAGGCATTTCCAGGCGAGGTAAGACTTTTTCTTTCTCCATTTCCTAATACTTAAAGCGCTTACGAGTTGAAGGAACAGCAGGTGAACTGGCGGAAGCTTGATCAAGTGAATAACAAGATGGCTTTCACGGGTCCCCTCCCCAATCTCACACAGTGGTCTCAGGCTGTTCCCGAGAGGCTGCGAAAAGGGACACTACAGTGGAAGGCTTTCATCCAGTGAAGAAAATGCCTCTTTTCACTTTTTCATTGTTGTTGCTGTCATAGTTTGCTAATCGATCAATCCATCTTTGGCTGGACAAGTGCAGGATGTTTTTTGCTTTTCTTCATCTGATTCTCCAGGGTGGCGAGTTCACATCTACCTCGTACGAAAATGTTTTCGTACAACCAAAGCCACCTATACATGTGGAAATTGGGGCCCCAAAACTTAGGGTAATCTTCCGAGACGCACAAGATGATGGCTCTCAAGCGCAAAGCTGGCGAGGATGAAGCGTGCGTCGCGAACAAGAAGGTGTGTGGTGGTGTAGGAGTCAGATTAGGAAAGCCATGGCAGAAATGGGCCATTACCATTTGTACTCGTGAGCGAGGACTTGATGAAATAAAAGCATCTTCTCCTTGGAATGTATTCACTGATGGATCCTTCGATAAAGAGTCGCTCTCGGCAGGGTACGGCGTCTACTTCCCGTCGGCAGAGGAGTCCCACAAAGGGACGGGCATGGCGGTGCAAGTCCCGCAGGAGAACGGCTGGTGCAAAAACGGGAACCCTATCGTCGACAGCCTCATCGTGTCTTCGCTCAACATGGAGCTTCTTGCGATACACGACTCCATCGCGGCAGTGCAGCTGTACAAGGCTCAAGGTTACTGGCAGTCCAACAAGCTGAATATCTACACGGACAGTTTGCAGTCGCTGAAGCTGTTGCAGTTTGCGCAGTGCCGGCCTGAGCACCCCGACTGCATCCAGCTCAAGCCGCTCCTGCAGTGCATCGTTGGTGCGGCAGCAAAGAGCGGGATGGAGATCCGGCTGTGCAAAGTCAAGGCGCACGACAAGGTATATGAGAATAATGTAGCGGACGGGCTTGCCAGGAGAGGGCGCCAACTCGAGGGGCGGAAGATCCAGTGGTTCCACGCAGAAAGGTCTGCTAAGTCGACCAGCGATTGTGAAATTGTGAAATATAGTGAGATTGAAGTGTGATACATTAAGCTATTTCTCCCTTTTTCTTGAAAAGGCTTGTTAATTACCAATGTTTACAAACAACAGTTAATTTTAAATTACGAGAAAAATATTTTGCCCATAGCTTTTATTTTATCCTGAATTTTGTTAGCTCAATTTGGAGGAGGTAAATGTTAGTAAATAACATTTGTTTTGCTTGTTAACTATTTATAAATTAATAACTTTTTCTTTCCCTTTTTTTGAAAAGGTTACCAAACAATAGTTAACTCTAAATTGTGAATTGGCCCATGCAGGTTTCGAACCTGTGTATTAGCACCACGCTCTGACCAGCTGAGCTAATAGGCCTTAAACAATCAAGGATGATTGGAATGGAATCAGATTTAGAATTTAAGAGCGCAAGGTAATCAGCGCGCTGGACAGGGTTCGAACCTGTGACTTTCTGCTCCAGAAATAGATGCTTTATCCAGTGAGCTACAAGTGCTTTACATGTCATTTATTTGTTAAATTTTTATTTAGTTAACACAAAGAGCAAAAGATACAAAATTTTTATAT